GCCACATTTTAGTTTACGGGGTTGTAATGGTGACACAGGCCAGCACACAAGAAGAAAGATGGCCAAGAGCAATAGCACCAAGACCAGAGTAGGTGAACAGCCCTTGCAGAGGAATGGCCCACCACCTACCACACCCCACCCCAGCCAATGACCGTGAGTGCCGAGTGGAAGGAATCCCCAGCACCCTCCCCCAAACCTGGTGGCTTAAAAACCAGCAGTTGTGTTTGTTCACCGACTTGGCAGTTTGGACAGAGCTCAGCTCCTGCTGCTCTCCCTGACGCACTCATGATGTTGTAGGGTCAGAGGAGGCAAGGCACCGAAGACAGCAGGAAAGTTTTATTTGGCTGCAGCCAGGTTCAGAGGGCACAGCCTTTGCTGTAATCAATTAATCCCCTGAACCCCAAGTTCAGGGAGTTTCAGAGTTTTATACCCAGCGTGGAAGGGGAGGGGCCCAGAAGTTCACACTCTGCAGAAGTTCACATAAAAGCAGCTTTTCCTTTCACTGTTTTGGGCAAGTTAACCCTTCAAGGACAACACCTGAGAACGGGAGAGCTTCTTCCCTCTCTTTCCTCCCCCTCCAGCTGTTACCATGGGAGCCCAACTGTTAAGGTCTCTTATCTTAGAAATAAATGTAAACATCTCTGTGAAGCCCAGCTCAAGGCCAGAGGCCTTGTTTACACATTTCTACAAACTACTATACAGGATACATGTTTGTGAAGAACTAGTAAGGGGCTGTCCAGCACCTGGAGTGCCAATTTCTTCCCAGCCAGTGGCCAAGTAAAACAAGGCAACACGAAAATAGGAAGTTTATCTACATTGAACTCTTTTGTGTAGACTCTTTTGCTGACAGTCCTAAAATCAGCCATGGTGAAGATTTCTGGAGAAGCCCAGGTAAGACTTTTCTGTGGAGAAAGGGGGCCCCACTCACATGGCAGTGACCTGGGGCTGTTGGCAGGGACACCTCCATTCTCCTGACTTATGACCCTAGATTTTTCATGCTGAGATCCAAGAGGCAAGCCCCAAGGAGGAAGCACTTGTCAAGCTTCTGCTTGTTTCACATTTGATGTCTCAGTTGTGGCCAAGCAAGCCCTGTGACTAAACTCAAGACTCAGTGTGGTGAAGGATTACACAAGGACGCGGGTGCTGGTGGGCAGGACTCACTGGGATCACTGTGTGGCATAAAGAGAGGCATATTATCTGGGCTTTTTATTTGCTTTCACTAAGCCATTACATTTGCTCATAACCTTGCTAATCACCCTATAAACAGGAGCAGGCCAGTTCTACAGAGGATTTCTCTACCCATGCCACCTAACGTCTTTATCTGGAGTTGGCAAACTTTTTCCTGTTAAGGGGCAGATAATAAAAATCTTGGGTTTCACAAACCACAGGCTCTACTCACTTGTTGTTCAAGTGCACTAGTAACCAGAGATAATATGTAAGTGAATGGGCAATGGCTGCATTCCAATAAAACTTTATTTATAAAACAGATTTGGCCTGTGGTCCTTAGCTTTCTTTTGGAGGTGGGTACTGGGTATTGAACTCAGGGGCACTTGACCACTGAGCCACATCTCCAGCTCTATTCTGTATTTTATTTAGAGATAAGGTCTCACTGAGTTGCTTAGCACCTCATTTTTGCTGAGGCTGGCTTTGAACTCACAATCCTCCTGCCTCAGCCTCCTGAGCCACTGATTACAGGTATATGCCACTGCACCTCGATATGTCAATTCTTGATTGTGATTTTCTAGATTGTCAAAAATATTGTGCATTGTACTCAAGTATTGCTACTTCTCAAACTTGAAATTTAAATGCCATGAAACTTAAATGTCATTTTTGTGGATCCTTGGAAGAAACTGATCAGTGTATATTCATGTTGCATAACATTTTAAAATCTAATTGTTTAAAACCATAAACAAATCCATATAATCTTTTCTAAATATCTTTTTAAGAGTTTCAACAAAAGTTGTGTTCATAGAATAAAATGTAATGAGCTGGTTCAGTGAGTCAGAGGGACAATATAATACAGATGTGGAGAGCACAGACTCTGCAGCCAAGACTCTTTGGCTCTGCCACTGACTGGTTGTGTGACCATAGACAAAGTTACCGAGGCTCTGAGTTTTTGTCTCCTCATTTGAAAATAGGATTGATGACAGCTCTACTTCATGAGGTATTTAGGAGACCGTGAGTTAGTCTACATAAAATACTTGAGAGTGTTGCCCAGATTATAGTAAATGTTATTAAAATGGTACAAGCATCAAAATGTCATAAAGCTAACTCTAAAAGAAAATCAATAGACATATGATTGTTTACAGGTTCATGTATCAAGAATTTTTCATTGAAAAATCAACAAATTAACTTAGATCTGAGTACTTTCAAGTCTACTGAAATGCAACAAGCAAGCCACAGGGAGCCGTGGCATAGATTTGCCGCAGGGGACACACATAAACATATGGAACATTATTAGATAGGAGGAGAATGTGCAGTGTCCAATACACTTTCAGATTTGTTAGAAAAGATAAATTCTTTAAAAAATTTTTATTTTACTATGTAGTAGTAGCCTTAGAACTGGCATCCAGAGACTAGGAATTGTCTATGTATTATTTTCCATTGTATGACAAGATGCTTCTGCTATGAGTTGCCAGACACGTGACCCATTGTTCTGCCCAACCACTTGTAAATAAGACCGTCCTTGCTGCTACAGTGGCTGAATGCATAGAAGCTGCTAGGGTGGCCAGACAATGCTTGGTTTTGCTCTGCCATTTACAGCTGTGCTTTAGTATATGCCGCAGTGGCTCAAAGTGACCTACATTTGACCCCATGGTCAGCATTTCCTTCATGAACCGCATTTGTCTTCACCTCATTCATCTGAGTTTGCACTACCAGTAGTACTTATGAAGCTCTCTGCCCAGTGGCTGGGGACACTGACTACTCAGGTAGCCTAGTTCTAATAGGTCATCTTGGGTGGGATTTACTGAACCCAGCTGCTCTGACATTTTACAGTGTAAGGGTTCAGTAGCAGTTCAGGACAACTACCGTGAATATCTACCATGTGTCAGGTGCTATTTAAGTTGCTCAAAAAACATCTTCTGTAGCTATTTAAGTAAAAGCCTTAAGAGAAAACCCCCTGTGGCTGATTTGTGACCATCTGCTTAGCATCTGGGGAAGGAACTGGCTGAGAGTGACACCCACAAGGACAACAAAAACAGGAGGAAGTGGCCAGCTCACAGTGTGGAGAAAGGGAGACATTCTATTCCAGAGCACCCGGCACAAGGCTGCTGCTTCTGAGCCACAGGTGCAACCACTGCAGGGGTGTCCAGCCCCTCAGCAGACTCAGGGCAGCACTCAGTCCCCTGGGGGGGCCTTCCTGCTGCTGCAGGATTGTCAAACACACAACTTAGTGACTTCAAGAACCCACAATACTGTTAGGAGATGGGCTCATGACCTCTCCCAGGAATCTTCTGTTCCCCTTTTCTTTGGAAATTCAGAGAAAGGACTTAGGTAGGGCTCAAGACTGAGGAATTCAGCTATGGAAATACTGCTACAACAACTGATGCACATTAGAGGAGAAAAAGGTTAAGATTCAGCCACTTCTGCTGCCACATATTGACATCTTCCACTTTCTTTTTCTCTAGGAAGCCATGCCTGATGATGTCCTCTTTATAGGCTTTCAGCTTTTTCTCTCCTTTGTTCTTGTACAGTGGTTCTTCTTTAGTGTGCATCACAAGCACCTGGAGAGCTTGTTCCAAAGGACTGTTGGGCCTAGCTCCAGAGTTTGATTCAGTAGCGTTTGCTGGGTTAAAAAAATGTGCATTTCTAGCAAGTTTCCAGGTTATGGTGATGCTGCTGGTTCACGACCAGTTTTGGAATAACCAATCTTACAGAAAGGAAAAATCAAAATCAATATATATATATATATATATATATATATATATATATATATATATGGCAGTCTGGTACACTGCTGTGTGAACATTCTGTGCTAGCTGTTCTCTAATCACAGAAGAATTCCACTCTAGCTTGCTCCTTCCTCCAGATGTGTGCTTTTCATTCTCTTCAGTCTATGCAGAAAGGGGTTCTGTTCCCTTTAAAACATAAGTGAAGCGGGCTGGGGTTTTAGCTCAGTGGTAGAGCACTCGCCAACATGTTCGAGATCCTGGATTTGATCCTCAGCACCACATGAAAATGAGTAAGTAAAATAAAGGTATTGTGTCCAACTATAACTAAAAAATATTTTAAAAAACATAGTTAAGCATATTTAAACACCTTCTTTCTAGAACCCAATTAAAATGGGAATTTTTGAAACATTTTCTGTGATCATATCCTCGTAAAGACACATAGGCACCCTGTTTGTATGCTGGCCAACAACATGGATGTTCTGAGACAGCTTTTGCTGTATCTTCAGACTGGCACAGATTTTTTTCTATCATTAATGGGCCACTTCAAAAATAAACTAAGCAGCAGTCTTCTGGTGCTGACAAGCTTACAATAGAATCAAACCGATTTCACATATAATCTTGCTCAGTTTGTGATGCAAAGTGATCATTTCATCCTAAAAAGAACACCCTAAAAGAGCTGGTGATCATGAATTTGGAAAATGTGTATCTCCAAAAAATGTGTAGGAACTTAAATGTGCAATTAATGCATGGACGAGGCAGACTGTGACTGTTTTCTTCAAGTCCAATGACAAGTTTGATGCTGTCAGCTGTATCTAGTTCCCAGTCGGCCAAGAGGGTTGTTAAACATTTACAAATTACTGCAATGAGTGACTGGTGCAAAAAAAAAAAAAAAAAAAGTGCAATGACTAGGAATATTTTCTCCCACTTATTATTTATTTTTTTTTTCTGGACGTGGAATAAAATAATTTAGGTTCATTAAGAGTGGGATTTACTGAACCCAAGTCAATCAACCAACCCAACCTTGAGTCAATCAAGGTTCTGGTATAGTTGTAGAGAAGACTTGAAAAGGAAGGCAATAGTAACTGAGGGAGAAAAACACTGCTGACATTAGCTGTAGCACAATTCAAGTTTATTCCATTTGTTCTTGCAACACAAAACTGAAACACAGTATTATTTAGCATTCGGATGTACATGAACTAGGATACTTATGAGAAACCCAATTGTGTCAAAAGTATGACATTGTGGAAAAATGAACTCAAATATATCAAAATGCACAAAGCACTAGTCTTCCTTCATTACTGCTTAGAAAGATATGATTGTTTCTCCATTTACAAAATAGAATCAGGACAATTTAAATTTTTAAAATTTTGCATGCAAACACTGCAATTGCTTATTTATGTAGGAGGGCACTCTTACCAGCTTCTTCTATACACAATTGAGTATACAATATTGCATGGAAGAAAACAGCAGCTCAGTTGAAGTTTCAGGGGAAAAAAAACAAATAGGTACATGTAGATTTAAAATCCATTATTTGTGGAAAGAAATCAGTGAATAAAGGGCCTACTAGTTTGCAGCTTCCACACACTGCACCTACCTACTACATTGCTGTGCCCAGCTGGGTTTAGAATGGTGAGCTGTGCAAAAAAGAACTACGTGGAGACTCAGGTGCTGTGTATAAATTCTAAGTCTATAAACACCAGTCTGCAGCTGCAGGGGGAATTTGTTAGTATCCTACTGTAAACAGGCAAACAACCTGTTTTTACTTGTTATAGTGCATACGAAATGACTGATTTAATACAAAACTACTGAACATGCAAGATTTTTTCTGAGATGTTAAATAGTACTTCAGTGGAGAACAAAACTTACTTAACCTTTTGCTAATGCATGTAGTACCAAAAAAACAGACATGGTTTTAGCTTTATTTAAAATATGAACGTAAGTGTTGTGAATTTCTCTGCCAAGTGGTTCAGAAATACATTATAAATAACCTAGTTAAAAAAAAAAAAGAAAGTGTAAACCATCTTGGTCAGTCTATTCTATTCTATGTTTATATGTTATTTTCTCAAGCAATTGCTTCATAATTATGGGGTTTACAAAATGGCTGAGAAAGAAGAGGGAAGGCGAGATAGCCTCTACTGCATTACAAGGAACATCAGGATAAACCGTACAAAGAAGCCCATAATGACTACAGAAAGCAGACCAAATTTAGGAATGATAGGATGGTGCACTCTCTGCAACAGCCAACAACAACACAACACTTGCAAAGTAAAGGTGAAAATTGTGTGAAGGGCAAAATTCAAGCCTTAAAAATAGCATTACGCCAAGAGGTGAAACCACCCTTTGTATTATACTGATAGTTATAGACTGACAGAGTGCCCTCCATTTCCAATCAGGATGTCCAACTCTAATAGGCTGCATTAAGACAGCAGAATTGCCAAATATAAAGTATTTTAAACCACCATTTTGTGATTGTTTTCTTGGACATAGGAAAATTACAGGGTTAAGCTAGTTGAAAGTGAAAAAGCCACAGGATAAAAAAAGGGTTCATGAACACACACACACACACACACACACACACACACGCCAACCAACCAATCAGCAACTGATTAATAAAATTTATTATTAGCCAGGAGCTGACTGTTCTTGATAATAGTTTAACCCTGCTGTAGAATGCTACATTGCCTTAAAAAATCATTAGTTCTATATTATCCACAATCTGAATATAAGTCCCTAACCCACCCTCCCCCCTTTAAAAATTTGAGGTACATTCAATTATTGCATGACTCGGCTAAGGAAAGACCCTAATATTTTAGTAAGCCTATATGAATGGCAAGTCAAAGAAATCTCAATATTTTAAATGCAAGATATCAAATTTAAGGTTACATGTTTAATTTTACTGCTCATGAAATAAACATTTGGAGATGTGTCTTTAAATTTTCTGCAATTCATAAGAATGCCATTTCAGGGCACTGTATTCTAAGAACACAGAATAGATTATTAAGTTGTTACACTTTATGCAATACATGACTTATAAAAGAAAAGAAAGAAAAACACATTATGCAGGTGGGTTGGCATGTTCAGCAGAAGCCTGTCCACAACTCGGGGAACCTGGTAACAAGCATATCTCTGTAGGGATGGGGTTAAATTTGTCCAAATAGTAAATCTAACCCCAGTGATAGCTTTGGTGCACTAAGTAATCAGCATCCAAGATGGGTCTGAGAGAGGCATTCCAAAGAATGTTCCTTGATTCTCTAAACATAACTGAGGTCAATTAATTCAAACAGCAAATGAAGAAAATCCATAGGTACTAAGAAAACCTTTCTCTCTTTATGTGATACTAACACGCTTATGGCTATGATTCTATTTTTAAACCCCCTTTTACTACCAGCAGGAGTTTGAAAGTGTTTCAATGTTACATAAATGTCTGACTCTACAGGAGAAAAAAAATACGCATACTGGAATGGTTTCTCCTTTAGATTTCTAAAATTTAAGATTTTATAAATAAAACTAGTCAGTTTTATCTAAAGAGACATGAAATCCACATGAAAGGGGAGAGAAAATCCAAAGTTCAGTCATCCAGCAATTTAGGAGTGTGCCCCTCCTCACCTTAACTGAGCTTTCACATAAAGCTTAAAGTCACTGAGGGAAGATTTGGTCACCAACCACAGGCAGCGCTCTTAACTGTGCCAGGAAATCCCCAGGAGAGTGCATTCTTAAGGCAGAAGGCTGTAGCTAATTGCTTATCTCAGCACCCTAGGTTTACATCGCAGCAGCCACTACTGCTCGCAGGTAGGGCTGCCAAATAAGAGTTGGCCTTTGTATAATCAGATCTTCAACACAATCTAATTAATGAATTAGCTAGGAAGCTGGAAAGGTCAAATGTTCCTGGTACGTTGTGTCTTTGCCCTCCCTTGGGTATAAGCTGTGTATTTTATTAGAAATGGAAAAGAGGCTGGCTTGATCAGGAATCCTGGTAAAATCCTGATCCTGGCTTTTCCCCTCCTCCAAAACATTGTTTTTTTTTTTTTCTGGTAGTCTGATTTGTTATGAATTTCTCTCTCCCCTCACCCCTCTGAAAGTATTTAGCTGAAGAAGCTGGCAGATAGAGAGTGACAGACAGACAGGCAGCAGTGTGAGGCCACAGGAGAGTCATTCTTCCCAAGTTATCAGTCCGTCCATCCATCACTGGAGAAGAGCTCTGATTGCTTGGTTGTCAGTGGCTTCAAGGGCGGTCAGTCCATCTGGACCTTTCACAGTCTTATCAGCACCCTGGAAAAGAGAGGGAAGAGCCTTCAGCATTAAGTGAGCCCATAACAGGGTGAAGAAAACACAAGAGTAGATTATGTGGCATAGGCTAATGTTCACACTGAGAATTTAAAAAATTCCCCTGCTGGAATTCACTGGATTACAGAAAAAGAAACAACAAAGAATTTGGTGAGGTTATGGATTAAATTGTAAAAATGCTATATTACTTTTTAGGCACCAGAAATAATAAGCTACAAACACAACTTGGCATTAACACAAGCAATGACTGGCTTTTGTTCATACTATTATTGCATATTTACCCCATTAAGCTTAAAAAATAATATCCCTCTGTGTGGTAGGAAACAAAAGAAAGACATTTTTGCTAAAGAAAGTACTCCTGTGATAAAATTATTTTTTTCTTCTCTGCAACATTTTTCTCTACAGTGGCTAAATGTTATGTATGTTAAGAACATATGTGATACTGATCATTTTACTTAGGAACACTTAGCGGTAAATGATTGGGATGTGGGCTGTAAGGAGGCTGCTCTCTAAACTAGGGAAATCTTCAGTGCAGACTCCCGACTGCTCTGAGTGCTTCACCTGCAGGTGCTGTCCTGTAGTGGCTCTACGTTCTTAGTTCTTATCTGTCAGTCCTTTCTAGAATGAAAACTCCATGGGAACAGGAATCCTGTGTGACTCACCACTGCATCCCAGCAACTAGAAAAGTAAGTGCCTGGTCCATGGTAGGTAATGCACTTGCTCCCAAGCTAGGTTTGAACCTTCTAGCTCCCAGAGACAATATCCTACCATCTGAGGGTTCTCTTCAAGGACCCCTGCCACAACCAATAGTTATTCACCAGGCTCAGCTCCGCCCAGCTCCCCTCTCCAATCTCTTGTTCTTCTGTCAGTTCCAAACCCTAAAAATTTGTCTACATGTAATGTAAATGGTACCTTAGAGATCCACTCTAGTCAAACTTAACTGCCTCTTTTCCCATTAATTCATATGTGCTCCCATCCTACAGAATTTCTCACTAGTTCATGAACATTCCATGAGCCATGCCTTCATACACGTGGGGCTCCATATGGAATGTCTTATCCCATTTTCTCTGGCAAATCCATCCATCCAACCAAGAATCTGCTGAATGTTTGATATGTACTTACTAAGTAAGGATCTAGAGAACCAAAGAAAACCCAGACAGAGTCTGTCAATCTGGCTGATGTGGGAGACTGACAAGTCAACATGGCACAGTGGGGGTGAATACAGCAGCAGTACCATTCCCTGGGGGTGGTGGTGAAGTGGCTCATAAATCAGAAGAGGATGTTGTGGGAGGGCATGAGGGCTAAAGCCTTCCTGGATGAAGTAGTGCTTAGGCTGAGTCTTGGTGAGTAATAAGCTGATTAAGTATAACAGGGAGACGAGGTGACAGATATCTGGGAAGTCTTAAATTATCACAAGGTCTTCCTCAATATCACTAAGTCTATATTTTCATTTTCTAATTGAAATTAATTGCTTCATGGAAGACATGGAATTCAGTCAAGTGGGAGAGAAATCAGTGAGAATTTCAATTCAATGTGGTAAGCTCCTGCAACATTGGTTAAATGACAATAACTGGGACCACTGCATTAAAAAAAAATGATTTCTTACTCGTTTTGATGGCTGTTTTTTGGGACTAGCACTGGAAACTATAATTCTGCATTATTAAAGAGTTACATAACGTGGCAAGCCATCAGTTTATTTCCCTTCTTTTGATAATAGCACTCTGAGGATTCTTTTGTCCTCTGCATTGTGACTCCTAGGATATAAATCAAGGAGCCATGCATGTACTTTTCCCTTGTCCAGTGTTGAAGATTTGTATGGGTCAAACAGGATTCTCTCTTAATTTAGAATCTCAGGTGGAGAGACCAAAAGAAATTAGAGGTTATTTATCATTGTGGTGTCACCTGGATGACAAGCTGAGGAGTTCTACTATTCAGAGCCCTGGTGTCACCCAGCTGCATTCTCTCTCAACCTGATCCTCCAGCTTTCCCTGTGATTTCATGACTAGTCAAAAATTCCTCTCCTACTTGTTGCAGTCAATTTCTGCTATTTGCAGCCAAAATATTTAGCTGATAAAATATTTTAAAATTTAAAATCACCTTTCCTCCCAATTATAATATCCAATTATGAAATAAAACTCAGAATACACAGAAAAACAATATTCTTAATCCTGCAAGTCAGATGCAATTGATAATTCACATTTTAAATGAAATGAATAAAGTACTTAATATATTTAACAAAGTGGAATCAGTTCTAAAAAAAGACAATGAACTGGTTTTGTCAAATGGATAAGAATATTACAAGAAAGTTTTTTTTTTTGTACTTGATGCAGCTATATAGAACTTAAATATATTTGGTTATTTATCATTTCTCTGAAAAAACATTTTTAATTGTTTGCTTTTAGTTTCAGTGATTACTGCCATAGCTTTAGGTAATATATTCATGCTGAGTTATTAGCTTTAGATTTTTCTGACTTCCTGCTTTGTAGAAGAGGCTTCAGTTCACCACCATCATTTTCCTGGGACTCTTTTTTATGTCTGAAATGCCATTTTCTTTCTTTGTATTATTCTATCAATTTTGATAGTATCTCATCTCTCACACACTAATTTCATAAGGCACTTTCTCTTAATTTCCTGTCATACTCTCCAACTTGCCAGCATTTCTATTTTTTAAGATTAACTATTCTGATTTGTAAAAACTGTTTTCTTATTGGTTTATTTTTATAGTTAAAAAAAAGAACAATGTTTAAGTTATTTCTAGGTAAACACCATCTGCTGTGGCACTTAGCAGAATACTATGATTAGTTTTCTCTCTGTTGCTTCAATACTGCAACCTTCTGCTGCCCTCACAAGTGACAGAACTGGGAGATGAATCCCAGAGTAGCAGCCTGAGTTTTTC